CAGGTGTGTGCCCTCTTTTGGGATATTATCCTTAAACTGAACATGAATACACTCAGAGATAAAAACTCAAAGCTTCATCCTGGTTTGTCCATAGCCAGACGTTACTTAACTCAAACCATTGAAGCTACACTTCATTTTAACATGCTGATACTAGCAAAGCATTTGTTTGGAGTTTGATATCCAGACATAAAGCTGCTGTAATCCTATTGCATTCAAGCTTTATCATTAATTTCCTTCCATGTTTCTGTGCAGCATAAAGGCCTACAGCCCTGCCTCCTGACATAGTGCAATATCTTAATCAACCATTCCACACACTTTATATTATACATTATACTGTCTCTTACCCTGGCTGCTGTTTACTGTCATTAGGTCACCAGTTACAACTCTATATTTTCTGCATCTAATTTTATCATTTCTCCTGCTAACAGTTCCATCCCAGATAAGACAACAAGGCGCCTCTTCCTCCTTCCTTAACTCGTCTTACATTTAACACCTTTCCCAGAATTCCCTCATCAACCTTTGATATTTTTCTTCATCGTTCATTGCCCTCTCATTTTCTGTCTCTGCTTAACTTTGATTAATTATCAGGCCTGGCTCAGTGGTACTGCCATTGCAGTCCTGGATCTTAGTATGATTAGTCTCTAAAGTGGAGTCGTAAACGGCAAACACAGGAGAGGACGAGCTCTGAGAGAACTGCATATAAAAACAGAAGAACAAGGAAACTAACCTGGTCCTACTTTCAACCACTATACTCTTCAGTGTTAGATCTGCATTTTACACTGACACTTACAGCTCTCACTACATGAGTGCACAGTTAAAGTGGGTGCTTACAAGATACATTAATGAGATGACACTGTCAGGAACAGTTTAAAAGTTGAAAGACTTTTAATGGTCATCAGCATGACACAAAGTTAAACACCTCAATCACAAGTCACAATTAAAAGTTTTCCACCATTATTCTTATTTCCTTACATCGCTGGATTGGATCCTGCTTCAGCCATAAAGACTGATACTGAGCCTCCAGTAAACTGACAGAGCAGCAGCCGTTGGATCTGTCAAATCTATATTGTGCTGCTTGTGTGCGAGTCTCTGCAAGATCTAGGGAGTTTTAGATCTCCTCAACAACTTTAAGCCTTCACCACAAGTTCTTTTTATGACATTTTGATCCAACATTTGCAACATCTGTCACACAGCATAAACCGATCTTCTGTCCATGTCTCTTGAGAGCCCTCCTACAGGATTCAGGCTAAACCTTCCAATAATAATCACAACAATAWATGAGAAAATTGAAGTTGGACCATTGAAAAACAACAACATTATGTAAATTCTGGCTTCACTCTGGCTTTTTTGCAAAGTTTGTAACAATTTTATGTAACAGCTGGATTCCTTCAATCACTGGCAACCTATTTCAGTTACTAGTTACATCAGAAGTCTTCCTTGAGAAATCAGCTTGCAAAACTTTCTAGTAGGCGTGTGCAAAAATATTGATTCATGTCAGAATCATGATTCTCATTTACAAAGATTCAAATTGATTTAAAAGTCCCAAAATAGATTATTAAAAAAAACTAATCCAATGGCTGTCAGCCTCCATTTTGTAACTATGTGGGATGACCTGACGTCAACATGCAGCTGGTTCTGGATAGTATGCATGTACAGAAAGCATCAAAAAAAAAAAAAAACTACAAAACTGGAGGAAAGAAATATTCATCTAACCTAGTCTTCATTGAATGCAAACATCTGGGCTCATTTTGTTTGAGTCGGAGTTTGACATGTGCTTCACCGTGTGCAAGGTTTGCAAAACGAAGATGAAGCACTTGGGGAACACAATAAATGGGCTCACATCAGCTTTGAATGAAAAATCGATTTTGAATCGAATCGTGGCCCTAAAAATCAGAATCAAATCATGAGTTAGTAAAAGATTCCCACCCATACTTTCTAGTGCTATCTGTGTCTGCTACCTGTATATTACTGCAGGGCAGCTTAACATGTGTAACCTGAGCTCTGACCTTGTGAGACCACATTTTACATCTGTTGGCTACAAATATTTTCCAAGTTTCGTCTCAAATAAGCTCCAAGTTTTAATTCAGACACAAAGGGCTTGTGCACAAAGTGTTCACACCTACATAGTATTGGTATTCTAATGAGTATTTGGGAACACCCCATGAACCTACAAACCATTAGAAAGCTACAGAGCTGATTCAAAGCCATTATGCTTTTCATTTCTATCATGTTATTTGCACTGTGACCAAGAGAAACCCAGTCATTCTGTTAAACAGTATAGGTTTTTCTTTTTTCTTTTCAGCTTTTCTTGGTAAAACCTTTTGAATAATTGATTCAACTGGCAATACAGATAATGATACAGAAGAAATGTTTGGTTCAAATACAAACAAGGATTTCTGAATCAAAATGTCTGCTGTGATTTATTGCTTGTCTCGTAACTTTTTAAACAAAGTCATCTATCAGCTGATCTTTACAATAACAATGTCAAACAATAAAATGAATATAAAATATTGTTGTAGTTTAACGGAAACAATTTAATTTATTTGCAATATTAGTTTTAAAACAAGAACACATGCTCACCAAACAAAATGAAAAATGAAGGATTTACAGTTTTTGGTTTTACTGGTCAGTCACATTAGATTGTGAACAGTATTGTGAAAAGTGATTGCCACATCTCATTAATTACTCGTAATCTTTATGATTTACCATATAGTTCAAAACCAAGCTCCTAGGGAAAAAAGAAAAAAAAAACAATAACAATGGATTCCACTTAACAGTGGTGCCAAAGAGGCAGTCAAGCAAAATAAATGGGAAACATAAAAAAATAAAACAAGGCAGGCAAGTTGGCCAGCTGTAGTTATAGAATAAGGAGTGTTGGATCAATAAGAATGTAATCAGGAGTATTATCTGGTCTTATTTTCTTTCTCRTCAATTTGTTGAAGAAATAAGCAAAAGCAGAGTTGTGCGATGCGGTGCGTCTGGAGAGATTTATAAATTAGGTAAGAAAAAGACAACCCTGGATAGGCTGAACTTTTCTTAGGAGCACAAGTWTAGTATGGGATCTATACTGAAGCAGAGCTGTTCTCCTGGGAGATAAATTTTTATCCCTATATAAAAAGCTACAGAACAGTGAGATTGTACAAGCAGAGAGGGATTATAAAATCTAAAGAGCTGTTGAACATACTTTCTAAACTTGAGCCTTAATTTATGGGATCTCTGAAAAAAATCTAACTAACACCTGAGCTCTCTTCATATCAGTAATTTGGCATGAAAATAAATGTCACCCAGGAAAAATTATCATCATTTGAATCTATTATTTGTGTTCATTTTTTTTCCAAGCTTATATCCATATTGACAATTTCCACCCTACTAAGCACACCTGTGGTTCCTGGCAGCACTGTATCCCAGACCACTCATTTGGATGGAGCATCGGCTGCAACCCAGGACACACAGACACCTCCACATCCTCACATAATTATGCAAAATTCCACAATTCAACGCCATGTTACCCAGAATACCAGATGTGCCACTCAAATATAATTACTCCCCCTCGTTGTTGCCTTTCTGCAGTCCAACACTTAACCTTGAACATTATCTGATCAATAGCCTGTTATTGGTCCCAAACCACCTCTTCAACTGCTTGTCAAACATAAAATGCATTGACAAACTCAGCTGAAAACCCTTCAGGCAAATCTGCAGGTAGATAAATAAAATGTAATATCCGCCCACTGCCCATCTGGAAGGTGAAGTGAGAGTAACGAAATTATGGTGGGAAGTTTCCAGCTAAAACCAATCATTAGTGGTCTGAATTATTGGTAAGGCTTAGACCTTTACGAGCTGAAAGTAAAAGCTTGGAAGTGGCTGCCTGCCACTGCAAACTGCTGTATTGACAAATTTGGTCAGATTCTATTCTCTTGCTGAATTCCTACCTCAGGTTTCATTGCAGTTTAAAAAGGGACGTGTGAAGGGTGAAAAGACAAAAAGTGAGTTAAACTGTGTTTATAGAAAAATTAAAAGGTTTCCATGGCGTTTAGCAATTTTGGGGTGAATGCTGCAGCAGCATTACAGACAAAATTATGATTATTGGTTTTAATAAAGTGGAACCTGCTAAGGCTCTCAGCTGCCACTTACTCTAAAACTCAAAGGCCATTGTAACAGTTCCAGATGCTATAATCAAGGTTAGTCTGGGCACATGTGCTAGTGCACAATTATCATTTTATCTGTGGCTGAAAGACTTTATCCTGACTGCTGCAGGAGYGAGGCTGAGTGGAAAGAACAATACATCATTGGACTTTCAATAATAGACAACTGTGAACTGTGTTCTAACTGTATGACTGACATATGTATTGAAGTGTTAGAGAAACTAAACAACCAAAATGGGCACAAATGAAAGCCAATTGTTCATTTTACGCTGGAAAATGTGAAAAGTTATTTACAATAATAAACGGATTTATTGGAAAAGCAAACAGTTTTATCCAGCAGTTATTGATGGTTTTATTTTATTTAGGTTTGTTTTGAACAGAAAACGTTGGATTTAAAAAGGCCAAATTAGTAAAGTGTGACTGATTAAATAAAATAAATACACTTACGAAAAGCTGTGTAGAACTCATGCAGGCTGAGGTGTCCATCATTGTTATAATCATCGTAACGAAGCAGATCTTGCATGGTGCACTCCAAAAGACTGTCATCCAGATGCTCCTTCATTGAGATCTAGGAATAAAGGATAAAAATAAAAAAGCAGATGAATTAAATTAAAAGCAGCAAAAGGCTAAGGACAAACAGTTACACAACATTCTAAAAATTTGATTATACACCATAAAATGGCCATAAATGAGAAATGTTGGTTTTGAAACCAAGAATAACAGAAAAAATGTTTACAAAGCTGCAATAAATGAGGTTAAACTCTCATCTGCTAATACATAACACAAAAAACAACTGCAAGTGTGATGGAACATTGTGCAAATCAGAAGTTCTTTAAATTTCTCATTTTATTAATATGAAAGTTTTCAAATGAAAGTTTAAAAAAATCTGATGCTCATCAGAAACTAAACTATCTAGAGTGACAGAAATGAATCATGTTGGCAGTAATATCTTTCCATCCATTGTGCACTGGCTTGCTTGCAGCCAGTGATATGCATTTTATTAGAATCAAAAATTATTATTTTTTTATTTACCAGTGACTTCAGGAACAGATTATAAGATAAACTTTGTCAACTGGTTATTACATAAATGTCTTTACTGAAATAAAACCACCAAATTTTAAAATGTACAAAAGATGTCCCAATTAACCATGCCAAAATATTCAATAAAAAATATATCATGAAAAGATTTCAGAAGTATGTAAGACAGTACAAGAATTTCATAGAAGCTTTCTGAATAGAGAATGAGCAAAGATCCCCCAAAGAGTTGAACGCTTCTTTCAAAGGTTCAAACCATAAGTGCTGACTCTGCAGGGGGCTCAAAAATATTTTGATATTTTCAAACTCTAAATTATTACCGACAATAATAAATCTTGAAAAACATAAGAAATATCTTTTTGTATTAACATTTTGAAATCAGGTCATTTTTAACTTTCTTTAATACTCAAGTGACTTTTTTTAACTTTTACRTGCCACAGTAGTTTATATTAATAGTGTAAATGTGTTTTTAGGTTTAAATGCCAAGATAATTACAAGGTAAGTTACTTCATATATTGCATCCTTCTGGCTAGTAAAGTCTAAAAGTATAAACCTATAAACCTCCTTCGAGTTAATCTTCTCCAACTGATTTTGTATGGGGCTGCACATGTGACATGGCAGATTAAAGGATGTGACAAACGTTTTCATCTCATGTTGCCGCCTGAAGCCGAGTATTGCCATATGTTCCCTGTCACAGACTCTTCTGCCCTTAGGCATTTGAATAAAACATATTCAGACCGTAAGTACAGGACTTTATCATTCAGCATAAGCTGTGACAAAAGACGGATCCCAAAGTAGAGTTGGACCGTATGGATGACTGGAACTCTTCTTTGATCCTTAAAAGCATTATCTATGCAAAATAGAATTTGTGAATTCCTGCACAGTAAGAATGTCTTATCAAGAGATTTCTCAGTAACATGCCAGCTTTATTAAATCTTTTAATACAGCTTCACCATAAAAGGAAAAAGTCACTCAATCTTTTTTTTTCTTAGTAGCAAGAGGACAAAACTTGTTGGAAGCACAATAAGCTGACAAAAGATTACAGCTCTGCCAGTTATTGTATAACATTTGAGAGTATTTATAAATGTTCAGCTTCTAATAAGCTTATTTTTTAACATCATACAGTGTTTTGGCTTTTCTACACAACAGAAMACTTAAAGCTGATTCTAAGTTTTAAACACCAGAAGGCTGGGGATTTTTTAACAATTTAGTCTTTTTGTTGTTGCCATTACTGATTCTAATAGAGGTCACTAGGCTCTGGCAGAATGAAAGAGATCTCAACACACTTTGATAGGAGAATAGTTGCTGCCCGTCTCTGATGCCCATTTTCAAACAGAGGATGATGTTCAAAATTATTTAACTTCACCATGAAACAGTCAATTCAATCATTTTTTCACAGTTGTTTTGCTTCTAGCATTAGTTGGAGAGGAACTCAAACATCAGTGACAACATGACTAAATGTTGCAGCTAGATGCCACCTTACAGTTTTAAAGCAAAGTACTCAGTGTTWCTTGCAAAGCAGAAAATTTGAACAGGCGTACAGGAATATGCTACAAACCTGATGCCAAATTGTGACTGAATTTCAAAGACCTAAATTCGTTTTTCCTCAGTGGTGGAAAAAATATTGAAAGCTGTTTTCYTGAATTATTTAACTCTTAAATATTCTAAATGATGGAAAGTTAAGTCTTCTAAACAATTCTCCTTTGCCAGTTCTGCCTCACTTCAGTCTTCACATGCCCTGTGATTCCTTCTTACTTAAGAGTTCATGACACAGTGTCTGAAACAGATGAAGAATCACGACGGTCGTTAAGTACTAATAAGGTCATTTTAGCTCCAGACTAACCTTTTCTAATTCTTCGCTGACCAGCCGGCTGTCCTGATTTACATCAAGATATTTAAACATCGTGTCCACCAGGGCTCTCTTCTCCTCCATATCTCTCTGCTGGTTCTGCTCTCCTGTCTTGGGTACTTTGGGTTGCATGTCCAGCAGCATGTTCTTCAGCTTGTTATATTCTGACATGGTGCATGCACTGCCTGCCAGGGTAAACAAACAGACGGATTAAAACAAACAAACAAAGCAAAACAGTTAACCACAATTATTCCAATTATACAAGCATTTGAATTTTGGCTGTAAACTAGATTGAATGGGTTTGTGTTCATGAGGAGAACACATAAAAACAGGGTTAGAGAGAGAAATAATGTGTGATTAAACACCAGAGTGTGTCCTTGAGTTATTAAGGAACATTAGGGATATTTSTTTTTGTTTTGTTTTATTTGTTGCAGTTTTTGGTGCAGAGGGTATAAATAATTACATGTAATCCTAGAATCCACATGAAAACAAAAGGTAAACATTGTCATTTAGAATCATGTCTTGCTCTACTCTGGAATTAAAGCTCATGGGTGCCTTGTTTGTCTGGAAAAAACATACGTCACATGCTGAGAGGGACTGACAAGCCTTGGTATTAATAGATCAGGCAAGCTAATAAGCATCAGAAAAAAAAGATGGTTCAGGTAAGTTCTTTTCATTTTATTTTCTTGTGTCCTTGCTTTGGTTTAATACCACCTGTGCCCTGCTGGATAGCAGGATGAGGAATGTTGATGGGAAGCCAAGAGGATGTGAGGCATGCAAGAATGTCATAAACATGGAGATAAAACAAATAATTGGTGGAAAAAAACTTTTCAAATGAATAAATCATTAGATGACATTCCCTACAGATGAGGAAGACCCACTTCTGTGACAAGATGGGAGAGGATCTTATTGCCAAACACCCTCTGACATCACAACTATTAAAYCTAACAAATACTAAATTAGACAACATGATGACTTTTATAACCCAAATATTACATCTCAGCATCTCTTTCTGATTCCAAACTTGTAACAGTTTACTGCTGTCAGGGTATACCTACAGCTATTACCATAACTGTCCTCACTGCAGTATTAACAAGGTTGCAGCTGGGCTGCAGAAGAGACAATCTCCTCCTGTTAATGTCAAAACTGAATATAGACGCACAAACCTTTGTTTCCATGCAGGTGTGTGCATATGCATACCTATACACTCATAAACAAAGTTTCCTGGTGTGCAGGACATCTTCATTTTGAGAAAGGGTCAGGGTCACCCATGATTTAATCTTTACCAAGCCTTAAACTAAATGTGCTTGTGAGGTAAAACTTAAGAATTATTTTCCTGTAGTGGTGATCTTTAAATAGGCATCTATAGTTGAACTTGTTGTTTAACGTCTGTGTTATTGTCACCAAATACAATAAAATACTAAACTAGAAAAAGTTCAATGTGACAACATTTCTACTAAAAAATAAAATAAGTCGAATATGTCCAGATTGTAGCCTAAATCTTTAATGCAATAACATAAATTGTATGTGTTTTTGCACACTATTTTTCACTGGACTTGTTCGGGTTCAAAATGTTCAGTGTTGTCCAATRATTTCTAAATAATACATTTCTAATTAAAAGACTGCTAGAAACATTATTCTGTCATACCTGTGTGATTAATTGCTCACACAAGCAAGGCATAAGACATGAATTTTTAAGCRTGGCAGTGTGTTTTCCAGGGCCTATAATTTGCAGTACTCAGATCTGGTGATCAAGAACATCWGTCAAAGCGTTTTGCTTGTTGGTGGAGGTCAATTTGAAAAACAGAAAGTTATAAAAAGGAAATAATCAGTGCAATAAATCTCAGTTACATCTGTATATTTTAAATGGTTGGTAAACTGTGACCAGAATAGAGTTGTATATGAACACGTTTGCAAAAAAAAAAAAAAAAAAAAAAAAAAAAAAAAACAATAACAATGGATTCCACTTAACAGTGGTGCCAAAGAGGCAGTCGAGCAAAATAAATGGGAAACATAAAAAAATAAAACAAGGCAGGCAAGTTGGCCAGCTGTAGTTATAGAATAAGGAGTGTTGGATCAATAAGAATGT